TTTATTCTGAGATCACAGCAAACTGAACATTGCCAGCAGTGAGTCCTGTTCTTCCACAATCTGTTCTCTCACACAGTGCTTGTGTTTTCAGTCTTTGTTTGCTTATAAATAAAAGTATTTTAGTTTTATTTTTCCTTTAAAAAATGTATTGAATGTATTTGGGGAGTAGAAGGAGAACTGAATCTTAAAGATTTTTATATATCGTTCATGAAAGGATTTAAAAAGCTAAATAATTACTGATACTTTGGCTATTTGTCTTGTTTCAAATAAGAAGTTATGTTATTAATTAAAAGAATCCCAAGAATACCTGGATTGATCAATGACAAAACAGAACACCAAAAATGAAGGGAGAGGACATGGAGCTCTTCTCTTTTCTACCTCATGCTTGGTCAGCTTAATTATGTTAGCTTAGTTTAAACACCTTTGTTTTTAAAAACATGGAAAAATGTGTCCTTAGAAGTTCCTTTATTTGAAATGGGTATTCCTGTGGATGAATGGTTAGAACAGAAGTTAGTGGGGAATTTCTAAAATGTATTTTTTAGCCGCTGCTCAGTTCTTGCTCAAGGAACTCAAATGAAGCCTTGCAGTGCTCCTCATGGCATCACTTAGGTGATCCTCCCTGCTCACATGGTCCTGAGCTCCCTCCAAGCCCCTCTGGCAGGATCCTGCCTGGACTGGGCTCTTGCCTGGGCATACCCACGTGCCACATCCCAGCCCATGATCCTGAGTAATACGAGTGACTCAGGAAACAAACACATGACACCTCACAAGCAGCTCTGTGAAGGCTTCCAATTTCCCACTGCACAGCCACATGATTCATCACCTTCTTCTGCCAATGGCTTCCTATGTAGAGAGTGGTTCAGTTAAGCAGCACTGGCCCTGCGTATTTCCAAATTATTTCCAGTAATTCAAAAATCTCGGTTTCGGGAAACTATTCCTTTTGCAAATATTCAACAAATACATGACAGAGGAAAAGGTGTGATAGGGAAACAGAAAAGCAGAACTGCAAGCACCACCTGCTTGAGTGAGATTTTTTAGTCCTTAATGAAGGTTTTTGGATGCAAGAAGAGAAGAAAGTTATCCTTTAAGCAGCACCCATGAATGAGAAGGATGCTGAGTGTGATAGCACAGGTCCTGCTATGGGAAAACAGCATGGGGTCAGTCCTCTGGCTGACTTTTTATTTTATTTAGGGAAACGAAAGGGCTCAGAGTGTCTTGTGATAATCTAGTGCCTGGAGCTCATTTCCATCTGTAATTGTTGGCAGAGCTGAGTATTGTCCCTGTGTTAAAGGAATCTCCCGTAACTCGGGGCTCCCTGCGTGACTCAGCTCCTGAGAGCTGCTTTGTGTGGCAGCAGGGAGGAGAAGCTGCCAGGCTGGCATCCCCTCCTGTTTCCCCTGTGGAAAGAGGATGTGGCTTTGCACGAACTGTCTGAAGGGATTACACGGAGCAGCCGCAGCCGTGTGCTCTGATATTGCTGATGTGTTAGAAATGATCCAATATTCACCCGCGTGGGGAAAGCCAGAGGAATGGAAAACTAAAACGTGAAACTGGTGAGAAGAAAAAGCGAGAAAGTGATTCATGCTGTGTGGAAAATGGGCCTCACTGGGTGTAGGCCTGTAGTTCTGTAGAATTAAGCACAGCTACAGGGGCTAATAATTTATTTCATTCACAACATTTGTCTTTCTCTTGGTCCTGAAAAATGCTTGGGCATGATGTACCTAGGGTGAGCCTCCACCATGTCTGCTTCCCCAGGTGCTTTTCAGCTCCCACAGATAGCAGAGGGAGGTGGAATTCTGTTCTTCCATTGTGAGCAGGGGGATGAGGGGAAGAGCAGATTTTGCTTAGCAAGCAAACCCAATATAACAGCAATTAAACCAGGTTTGATTTGGTTTGTACTCCCTCTGATGTGCAGTTATGCTGGGTTCAGATGGTTTCCCATTCAGTCCCTTTTCTGAGCCTTTCTTATGGGGGAGTTCAGTAAGAAACAAGAACACCACCCCCTTGCTTCCTGCAGAGCTGGAGGGGCTGGGCACATTGCAGGAGGATGCTCAGCTTTTCCCCCACAACCCCCTCAGAGACAGCTTTCTGCTCACCTTGCTTCCATCATTTTCAGCTCCAAGACTGATTCTGGAACCACATCCATAACACTATGGCCTAGGAGTATTTTTTCCCTGCATTAGAATATTTTTATTGTCCATTTTCCAAGGAATCACAACAGAAAAGCTGCAGATTGGCTTTTATGATTATTCTCTCACTCCTTGCTGAAAAGTTTCTCTCATCATTCTGATGAACAATTTCAACAGGGAAAAGCAAATGAAACACAGTTTATATTCAGATATAAAATTCTCACTCAAAGATAAATGGATTTTTTTTTTTTCTCCTGGGAAAGGAATTAATTTCCTCTCCTGGATTTTGAACTTTATTCCTTTCTTACAGATCCTTTGGTGAGAAAAGAAGGACCCATTAACCATATCCAAACTGATCATGCACCACAGAAAATCAGGAGCCCTTGGAGGTGATGTGAAGTCCCTAAGCAACAAACTGAAACTTTAAAACTGGTAAAGGAATGAAGGAGTGAAATATCCCAAATGCCCAATTAGTCAGTTTTATTATCATATTGTGTGTGGTCTCTGTGCAAAATCTGGCCTCATCTCACAAACTCCGGGACCATCAAAAAGATGTTGCATGTGCCTACCCCATAATAAAACCATTGGAAACCCAAGAGTTTTCTAGTGTGAGTCATGATACTCAGGAAGAGATGAGGCAGGGCAGCCAATTCACTTTTAAACAGCAGCATGAGCCCAGTGCACAGCCAGTAAATCCAAACAACCTGGATATCTCACACAGCGTTTTATTAACAGCCTCAAAAATGCCTAAATCTCAACCAAGCTGCAAATCTAACTCCCTGCACTGATTTGGAGGCAGGAGGGAGAGTGCAGATGCAACCAACAGCTTCAAATGTTTATCTGTAGTCTGTAGCACCCATCTAACCCTCCAGTAAACTTGGAGAGAGGAGGACCAAGGGTTGTGAGCTAAAGGAGTGAGAGCATGGATGAATTGGCTCTCGGTAACTGCACAGAGGAGAAGCCTTGGTGAGAACTTACAAGACATCTTGGGAAAGAGATTCCTTTCAGGTACAGCATTAATCTTTTATTTTCTTAATTTACACGTTTTTAATCTCAAGGAGCTTTTGGCTTTTTTAGAAGGGAACAAGTTATAACAGAGCAGCACTGCAGAACACCCTTGGGGTGCCTATGAACCAGAACAGGTTTGGGAATCTGCAGCTAAAGGCCCACAGTCATCATCCAGGGAGCTGCAAAAAGGAAAGTCATCCTGCCAGATGTTACCTACAGCCTTCCAGCAAGGCCACCCATTAATATTAAGAAACAGCCGCTTTATGAAGAGCAAACCGAGCAAGAACTGGGCAGAGCAGAACAGTGCTGGGGCCAAGATGCAGAGAACACTGGGCATGTGCTTCAGACTGAGCCAACATGAGACAGGCAGGAGCCTGAAGCAGCCCTTCCTTCCATGGCAGTATTTTCTTAGTTCAGTGGCCCCGCTTGTTTGCCCCTTAAAACTTCACTGTTTCTGGGCAGAACACCCATCCCCTGGGGCAGGAGAGGACGGCAGCACATCAGCCTGTGCTTGGGATCACTCCTGCAGATGGTAGAGGCGGAGGGAGGAGACAGCAGGCAAGAACTGTGGCAGGCTGGAGGGGTTAAGCTCAGGTACAAGTTGGGCCTAGGCTCAGCCAAGGAGAGCACATCTTCAGCTGGACTGAACAAGAAGCATGGTGGAAACCTCCAGAGCTCTTGGAGGCAGATGGCAGCAATACAGAAGAAGCTGGAATTTAATGTGTGGAACAAGTAGTGTTGGAGAGATGGGTCTAGTGGGAAACAGTCCTCTCAGGAGTGTAGCTAGGATTTGCCCCTCATGCATTTTCTGCTCACCACAACTGCATTTCACAAATCCTCTAGCACACAAGTTCATGGGGAAGAGCCTAGAGGAAGATTTTGAGCATCTCTTAATAGTAGATGAAGTAATTGGGTGGTAAGATTTTTAGCCAAGGTGATGGCCAAACACACTGATTCCCATTTTAGATCCCAAATGTTCAAAGAAAAGGTTAGGACTGACTGACCAAATCACCACCTGCAGCTGGTGGTTTCAAAACTATTGTTATTTCCCTGGAAATCCTGGAAATCTCTGACTGCTGATCAAGAACTTTTCACTCATGAAAGATTTAAGCTTTTCTTAAGGTGGCACTTTGCCAGCAGAAAGAAAGGTGGTGCACATCAAGGATGCTGGTTTTAATTTTGGCTGTACCTGCTGACCCTGACCTGGTGATAGATGGAACACAATGAATCTTTTATAACACACAAATACTTGGTCCCTCTACACAGGATGCACTCAGGACCTCCCATAGCATGGCCACCCTTTCTCTTGTACCTACTGGCATCTTACAAGGCAATTAAAAGCTGATTTCAAAGCCACTGCTCCTGCCTGGGGGTCCCATAGCTCTTTGCATCCTTTTGTGTTTAATTTCAAAAAAAGCATCATTGTCCACTCATTCTGAAAACAAGGATATTCCTCGGGTTTAGGCCCATCCATGAGTTTGCCCATCTCATCATTGATCACAAGGAATGAAGGACAGGCACAGTTGGTAGAAATAAGAGTGTAGTTACAGGCTTTTGTATCAAGTCACACCTTCCCCCTAACCTCTAGGCTGAGAAATCTGTGCATGCTCAAAGTCTGGAGAGGCGTCAGTCAGACTGAGTGTACTGAAAGCCAGTATGGGTAGATGCCTGGTTTAGGACCTTTCCACAATCCTTTGAAGTATCCATACAAGACAGAACAGCAAGAATTACGAGAAAATTGACACCCTCAAGCAAAGACAGACTTTTATTCTGAAAAAAATACTTAAATGCAATCTGCTGCTGTGTAATATATATGCCAGAGGGACAAAATATGGTGTAAAGTAAGATCTCAGCAAGTTGAGATTCAGCTTACATATTTGGCCTGTTTAATCCAAGGATGAAAATAATTACGCAAAGTCAGTCTAAGCAATCCCAGAAGGATTTGAACATATGAAATACAGTCACTGCGAGAAGCGGAAGGGAGAGCTTCACCAGTTTCAGTTCCCCTTGGCTTTCCTACGCTTGTGTGTGAATTTGGCCCAGAAAACTGTCTGGCACAGAGGATAGTGATCATTCATCCTTTCTATTTGCACAAGAATGTGGGAAGGGCTTAGAAAAAGCTCCTCTTCTCCCATCTGGGGGTCTGGGTGGGTGCCAGTTAAGTTCAATGATGCATAACCATTTCAAGAAGCTCCTTGCCACTCTGTGTGTTGCAGGCATTTGTAAAGAAAGCAAATGTACTTGTCCCAGCAGCATGTTGGTTGCTCTGTCAGGGTAAGGGGTATCCTGCTTTCCTCTGCTTGTCATGACAGCAATACTAGGCAGAAAGGAAATAAAACCAGTTTATCACCTTAGCACACATCCAACAAGATTTTCAAACCCCAGCAGCTGAGGAGAAGAGAGAGAAGAAACTTAACACGCAGGTAGAAAATCTTGATGTGGTGTGTGCTCGGAGAAGCCAAAAACATCTTCTTGAGGGCACCAGGTGCCTCTTCCCACACACAGGGGCAGCGAGGCAGCGGAGGCAAAGCCACGAGATGTGCTGCAAGAAGGGAGCTCCTACCTGGAAGCCGTGGGCAGGTTTCGGTCCCGGTGTCTTGCTGAGTGTCCCTGCTGTGATGGGTGAGGTGCTTTGGGTCATTCATGAGCCCAGGTCCCAGGGTGGGGCCAGCTGGGGCGGCTTTGTCTCCAAACCCCGCCTCGCAGCACATGAGCCCTTCTCGGCCAGCTCTTCCCAAAGGGTGCTCCCCTCTCCCATGGCTCTGGGAGCCTTCCTGAGGAGCTCTCTGCGTGGTGAGCGGCAAATTGCAGCCAGCCTGCCTCGCCTTTGAGTCCTCGCCAAGGCTTTGTTTGTTTTCTCTTCTGTTTCAAACATCCTTTGTGCCTTTCTGGCTCAGCTAATTAGCTACAATGCTCAGCTTCTCCAGTTTTTAAGTGTTGCCCAAATAATAGCTGGTCAGACCTAGAGAGACGGTGAAGCCTGTGCTGAGGAAGGAAGGTGGTCTCTGCCTGGGGCAGGCTCATCCAGCTGATGCTCAGGACATCAGAAAAGACTCGGTGGCTTGGGCTCAGTATCATAATAGGGTTTGTACCTTGGTTTCTGCAGTGCCCTGCAGCCAAAACTGCCACACCTTTGCTCCTGGTCCTGGCACAGAACACTGGGTTCAGGTGACAGAGGAAGCCATCAACACCTGCGCTTGCAGGAGGGGTGGCTGGGACATAGAAAGGATGGCATCACAAACTCTGGTGCAAAGGAACATCTCCAGGGCATCCTCAGCAGCCAAAAAGAGTAGGAAGCCTGAGAAAGAGGTACCTGGGGAATGGGGGAACTGCTCTGACACTGCTCAGAGGGAGAGATAGGAGAAAGACAAAACGGCCATGTATAGGCAAGAAAATCAGGAAGAAAAGCAGCCTTACATATTTGGAGTTGTTCTATCAGATGGACCATCCAACTGTATTTTAAAGTCTGAGCTTGACTGTTCTTACAGCTCCACGATGTCACTTATCTTTACCTACCACAAGGCAGTTTGTCCAGGGGTTAAAACTGCAGTTTCCAGCCATGTGGCAGCCTGTTGTAATCCACTTTGATTACATAACCCAGCAAATATTTTGCTAAAGTTAAGTTTAATTGCAGGATTGATGGTGGCAAGAAGCATATTCCCCTTTATGAATTTTTCCCCTTTGAAAATCAGGTTAGAGGCAGGCAAAGGGCAGTTTTGACTCCACTTGCCTTATTCAGTGGCCAAGAAAAGGCACTGTTTCCCCTCACACTAGTCATGTTTTACTTCTCCAGGAAAAGGTTAACATCTCTCCTTTCCCTACTTCTCCTGCTGTGGCACATACCAGAGATCACAGTGCAAGAGACAAACATGACACAAGTCAAGCAAAGAACTAGAAATAGGGTGGGGAGGAGGCGAGTTATCCTTAGTCCAAATTAGGTGGAGCTCAGCTATTCTTGTGCTGTTTTCCTAAGGTCACTCTGGATTAGGGAAGGACACAAAGGAGAAGGGAGTAAGACAAAAAAAGTTTTGCTATTTAGCTTTTTCCTGAGACTGTTTATAGGTTGCTTGACATCATTCCGTGATCATTCATGGCAAAGTTTTCCTAGGCTGTTTTCTTCCTCCTCCCTTTAATGCCACTGTTGCCTTTCTGATGATGTGGGATCTGTGTGGCTCTTTCCAGATCTCATATTTTCTCCTGCTCCTCCTCATGTGCTTCTCTCTTCTCATCACACTGTTGGCTCTTCCATGTAATACAGAGAACAGCTGTTGGAAGCTCAGAAATGCTGAATGTTGGGCCAGAGCACAAATCTCTCTGTTCTTTACAACAACTTCAGATCCAGCTCTTTCAGATCCATGCTGACCCACCTTTTCCATCTTTTTCTTCAAATGTACCTTAATTTAATCTTTTTTGGTTTTCTAATCATAGCTGTAATCCCGATTTACTAAAGCTTTTTGTAGTCCAGCTCCCTTTTCCAGTTACACTAGTGTGAATCCAGAGTAAATCTGCTGGTGTAATTGGGATCATAAGATATGAGATGACTGTACCTTCCAGGAGCCAGAGCCAAAACCAATGTCACCATCGTCAGCATCTTTCTCGCCGTTGTTTCCAATATCAAAGAGAGATTGTAGTCTGGGAGCAGTGATACCAATCATCAGACTGGGAGTTGCATAATTTACCTACTTCAACCTTCTACAGATGCTTTTCAACCATTAATTAAGTATAGGAGCCCAACAAAGACAAGGGTTATCATTTTCAGGGTGAGGCACTAAGAAGGCAGCAGTGTTCTCAAAGGCACATACAAAGAGTCCCCCCTGGCCCTGTGGTGAAACCTCATGTTGATTTCATTGGCTCAAATTCAGCAATAGGAGTCAAAAAAAGAGAAAACTCCCTGTCTCTTGTTCATGTCTTACCAGAATCTTGATCCCAGTGGGAAACTGGGTGCCACAGAATGGGTGCTGAGTCTTTTCCATGCCACAGTTGTGCCAAATTTGGGGTTGGTGTTTTGTTGAATAGGGTCAGAGGAAATATAAATTGGCCTGTGACAAACCACTCCATATTGCACTGGCTTCACAGGGGCTATCACATTTCCCCTTCCAGCCCATGGCAGCAAGCTTCCAAGTCCCTCAGGATTTGGGGATAGATTTTCCCCTTTCATGCTCCTGCTGAGCCCTGAAGGGATTTTCTGATGTTGGTCATCAGTCCAAGCTAAGCGCAACTTTTGTGCTGCCCAACCTTGAAAACGAAAGTGTGGAGAACCTGATCTGTTCTGCATTCATCCACATTCCCAGCACCTCTTCTGAAACACATCTGATGCCACAGTAGCTTAAAGAATTCTGCTTCACGCTGTGTGTCATGAACTTAAAAGAAAAAATAAATAAATACAAGCCTGGAAAACTTCCTGGATTGTTCAGTGCCTTTTGTGCCCTAAGAAAAGGGTGAAGCTGGTAGGGCTCTTTCCTTTAATTTTCTTGCCCCAAAAATGTGCATCATGTTCTCACACTGCTGGTGAGTCTGCTGGTCCATCCCAGCTCTGTGTTTCATTAAAAAAAGTTTGTACTGAGGTGAGATGGAGAGAGAGAGTGTAGCAATAAAAGACAGATAAAACAGTTTTGTTTCTTGTCTCTTATATATTCTGTTAACACAGCAGTAAATGCTGGTAGAAGAGTGCATGTGTAATGCACCCGTGTAATTTACAATTAATTTGCTAGCATTAGTTTACTAATATTTCTCCCACAGTAATTCTAACAACTTGGTTTGTTTGTTTTGTTTGTTTTTGGTTTTTTTGGTACAGCCTGTTCTGACAGAGGAAGACACACTGATAGAAATCTAATAGTAATATTGTACTTAAGAAAACTGGAAGCCCAGCCAGGACTAATTACTCCAACCTCAGACCTGGCATGCTGAGGCTCTGTGCAGGCACATGGGCTGGCAGGGTTAGTAGGGGAGCAAACTAATGCAGAAACAGGAATGAAAGGTTAGACTTGTGCAACTCTTTTGGCCCTGAAGATACTTGAACACAAAATGTTACGCCAGCAAGTTCTGGTACACAGACACTACTATTTAGTTGTAGTATCTACTACCAGTATGCACAAAGGCTTAAGGCTAGAAGAATTAGGACCTTATTGGCATTTTCAAACTCATCTGTGTCTCATGACTGAACACAGTTATGTAATTGTGTAGCCATAAAGGCAGGGGGTATATCCTTGAGAGATAACTATTCCTTTAGTGTTTGAGAGTTTGGTGGCCTCAATTTCCTACAGTGAATGGGTTCTAGCATGGGCCAGGATGGAGAAAGCTCCCTCACATAGAATACCAGCTCCATGTGCCTTTTCTTTCACATCAACAACAATGGGAGCTCCTTGTTATCCCCTCTCTGCACCCCCTGCACTGCCACACCATCCCCAAAGGTGTGCTCTCAGTTAGACCAGGGAGAAAATAATCCTCCTACAACCTCACTGCCAAGCAAAACTCCATGGGGATATTCCCCTGCTCAGTAATGCAGCCCCTAGCACCCCACACATCCAGGCTAGCCATGGTGGCTGCACTGGCAGACTCTACAGGACAGACGTGCTGGGGATGGGATTGTGCCATGGGAAACACAGAAAAGAGGAAAACACAAGGTCCATCTGCACAGGACATTGTGTGTGCTGCAAGCTTGGATCCACAAGTATTTTGCAGCCACTCCTCTGTGTGGACAAGCCCAGCCTGGCTGTTTGTTTGAGTGTTTGTCTTGGCAGTGAGTCCCCACGTCAAACCAAGGGTGTCATTTATCTCTGGTGGTGGCAGCACTTGCCAGAGCGAGGAGCAATAGCAGCAGCCCCGGAGGCTCTGGCTTGTGGGGGCTCTCCCTGGCCTTTGCTTCACATTCCTCCACCTCTCACACAGTAACAAAGGCCCTGCAAAAGAGGCTGCTGCAGCCAGAGTGCCTTGGATAGAAACAGATGGTGCACAAACTGCTGGACGAAATGCACCACACTATGGTGCCCAGGGAGGAGCGCGCTACCAAAGCGGACTTGAGATGTCTGTTGATTCTCCTTCCTTCTTCAAGTTTTGAAATGCAGCAGTAAAGAAAAACCAACATTTTTCAGCTGGTTTTGGTTTGCTGCTGGGGTTTGTCCGTTCCTCACATGAATCAGAAGCTGTGGCAAACACAATGTGCTGTGCCTCTGGCGAGTACATACCATCCCCATTTCTTGCAGCTTGATGGAGAACAGCAAACCCTTCATTGGACAGGGGATGGACAAAGAAAGCCTTGTTGCCTGTGGGGCTCTGTCATGCTGATATTTCTTTTCCACTTGTGCTCATAAGTCACCAACGGGCCCGTGAGTACCCGTTGGAAATAGAAGTGTGAAACTAATAACTAAAAATATAAACTCTGGAGGGAAGAAGATGAGTCAGGAGGGAGGGAGGACCAAGAGAAGCCAGAGGGATGCAATTTACTGAGCCTAATTCATGATGCTGGAAGGGAGCTCTCTGCCAGAGCCAGATGAATCAGATTCCCTTTCAGTCTGTGCTGGCACCACAGTTATTTTGGTGTCACCATGGGTAGAACAAGAGTAGATATTGGGAAGCATTACTGGGCAGAGAGTGAGTGTCTGCTGAAACTGAAACAGCTTGTCATCTTAACAATATTCTCACTGAATGAAGGAAAAGGAGGGAAAATGAAATATGCT